GTAGGCCACCCATACCAGCAGGACTGCCCGCTCTTTCAGCTTCCCTGGCCTAGGTGCACATCTCGGACAGAAACGTCCAAGCTGGGCCAAATGGATTTCACCGGTCAAGGTGGACAAGGGTCATGCCCTCAAGCAGGTGGTGGCACTTCTCTCCCAAAGTTTCTACTGGCACCTTCAGGACCCCTTCCATGAAAGGACTATCAATATTCCTGGTGTGTCTTGGAATGGCTACGGACCAACTGGAGCCCAAGACCGAACGGATGAGTTTATTTGCAAAATCCTGCAGAGAGCCTGTGAATTCCTAGGGGAGTCAATGGCCTGGAGGTCTCCTTCTGTAGCCCCTCCACACACCTTGACGTTGTCTCCTCTTGATTCTTGCAGGCAGCTTTTGCAGAAGCAGGCACCATGTCGGTGTTGTACCCGTCGCTTGAGGACATGAAGGTGGACCAGGTCCTAAAGGTGAGCGTCTCCTGTTTGTGTACCCTCTTGTCCTAAAAGAGGCCAGGTTATTCAGAAGCCTCCAGGAAGGCCCCATGAAGAGATGGAGGAGGAAGAGGGATACTGCCCGGCCCTGCCATTAGACATTGCTAAAAAAAAATCTCAGAAAGGACTCCCCAGAAGCAGCAACTTGTCGGGTCATTTCTTCTGCCCTCTCATCCCTTCTGACTTGTCCTTCTTAGCCCCCTTTCTTCGCTGGAGGTCAGCCCTAGTTCACCAGTGTTGAGATAAAATTGAAGAACTGGTTCCAATTTGCTTCTGTACGTGGAATGGAAGGAGGAGGGGTTCCACCCTGTTTTTAGCCTCAGGCAGCAACATAGGTTGGGTCAGCCCTCTATTCACCCCAGAACAGTGGTTCCCAATCTTGGGTCACTTAGCTGTTCTTGGACTGCAATTCCCAGAAGCCTTCACCACCAGGTGTGCTGGCTGGGGTTTCTGGGAGTTGCAGTCCTACAACACCTACATTTACCCAAGATGAGGAACCACTGTCCTAGAAGATCTAAGCTCAGTTGCAGCCTTTGAGCCATTAAGAGGAAAAGGAGACTAAACGGGATTCCCTCCCACATTTCAAATATCAGTCTCTGCCAATATTTCATCAGTAGTTGCTCACTTAACCATTTTGCAAAACCTGGGAAAGTCAGAGAGGGGGAGGGAGACTGACTGAATACATCAACTTCAGTGCAACGGACTGGATGAATTTACAAGAGTGTAGATCTTGGCCACATGTTATTGCTGGTCCAAACAGTGACCACATACCCTTTGTATGGAGAAGCATTATTTCCAAGCTCTGGATGTACATTGCTTCCATTTGAAACACTGCCTGCCCTTTCTCTGTGACTTTGTAAGGATCTGCCCCCTGGGCTCAGGTTTGGTCCTGAAATCTCTGGGACTGAGGTGATGGCAACCTGGCAAGCCCTTACCTGTAAAGAGATCAGGGCCAGCGGGAAGGAGTGGAATGACAGGTCGTACAATACGATGAGAGCTTGTGAACTGGGCCTCTGCCGGCCAGGCGTCTGATGAAGAAGCCACACAGGGTCCCAGGGTCAGTGAACGGCACCTGGAATGAAGGGCAGTTCCCAGTTGAGCTGGACCGATAAATTCCCCGTGGCATTCCAACGATACAACTCAAACAGCTTAGAAAGAGGAGGAGATGCTAGCTGGAAATACAGTGGAAAGAGGCAGGTGGAAACGGAGGTATTAAGACGGCAGGCGAAAAGCACACCCTTCCTTTAACTCTTCATAGAATCAGACAATCACAGAACCATGAAGTTGGGAGAGTCCTCTAAGGTCATCGCATCCAACCCCCTGCTCGGTGCAGGAACACAAATCAAAGCAGATCTGCCAGGTGTTGGTCTAACTTTTTCTTGCCCTTCCTGCACTCTGGGATGGTCAAGAACGGGTCCTGCCCCTCCTCTGTAGGACGACCTTTTGAGTACAGTATTTGGAAAGTGTTCTCCTATCTCCCCATAGTCTTCTTTTCTCAGGGCAAGACTGAGAAAACATTGGGGTTGTGGGAGGGTCACCCAGGTGTTCTTGGTCTGCAACTCCCAGTAGTCCAAGAACACCTGGGTTTACCCAAGATGAGAAACCACTGTCCTAGAACAGTGGTTCTTAACCTTGGGTTACTCAGGTCTTTTTGAACTGCAACTCCCAGAAACCCCAGCCAGCACACCTGGTCGTGAAGGCTTCTGGGAGTTGCAGTCCAAAAACACCTGGGTAACCAAGGTTAAGAATCACTGTCATAGAAGATCTAAGCTTCCTTCCTTCCTTCCTTCCTTCCTTCCTTGAATGTATGTTATGCCCAGAGATGAGCAGATGCTGCTTTGCTCCCCCCACCTGTCCTCAAAGTGCAGTTCACCCACCTGAAGTCTGGAAATGGGAGATCTTGGGGCTCCCCAACCTGTGTAGAAGGCAAGGGGTTCCATCACCGTTCCATCGCCCGGGGGTGGGGGAGAGGCACCAATTGTAGCAAAAGACACTCTGCACATGGATGGAGGTGCTTCACAATTTTGCACTCGGGCTAAGTCTTGGATCTAAGGAAGACTTGGAAATGGGAACTGGTGTTTCCTCAACCAGGGCAATCCCCCCAAATCAAGGAGATCTGTCCCTAATATCTGCCTCTTTCTGTCCTTGCAGGTGCAGGGTAATGCAGGCCCTGGGAAACCAGCCTTGGCCCCAATCCCTACTCCAGCCCCAGCCACCCTTTCATCCACTGCTGGCAAAGAGACGACAGAGCCCCCCAAAGC